AACACTTTAGAGTCGGGCCCGTGGCTGAGCTTTGCTGCTGACCCCTTCTAGCCACACTTAAAAAAGATATCCTTAGCTGCCTCACACTGCTAGACGTAGGTTTCCTCACCTTCTTTGAAACCATGGTCCTCGGTGTCCTCCATCTTCTTTTCAGCTCTTGGACCTCGGTGTTCTTTCTCTTCTCCAACTTGGCCAATTCGCGCAGATAGCGATCTTTTTTCTCGGCCACAGCTTTTTGCTTATCAGTCTCAGTCGCGTTAACTAGCTCGGCCAGTCTTTCATTTTCAGTAGCCAGCTCGGTCAACTTCGCCTTTACCTCCTTCAGCTCGGCTACCTTGGCGTCAGCATCAGTTATGGCTAACAACGCTGTTTTTCGCAGTTCAAGCACACGTTTGTGGACTACGTGGCTTTTTTGCACGGCCTGCGGTTAGAGTAAGAGTTGTTAGGATAAACCGAGCAAATAGTTAGACAAAATGGATGTAAATAAATGGATGGAAGACTTACAAGCACCATTGACTTGGCAGCCAACCAAATGGCCTTGAGTTTGGTTAAGTGGTCGTAATGCTCCATGTTTGCCGGAAGATAGAGGCCTTTTGAAAGGTTAAAAGCAAGCATGGGGTCCTTCTTAGCAACCATTGAATCTTTGGTGGACACAGCACGATTTTGTAGGACACGACTGGTGTCCATACCAGTGGGGAAGAAGGGCTTGCTCAGCCAGAATGGGCAAGCTCTGGGTTCGATAGTACGGGATCAGGAAGTATGGTCTCTTCCTCATCCACCAAACGTTGTTGTTCGGTCGACAAGGTGCGAGCATGCTTGCTTTGCCGAGACGTTGTTGCCTTGGTGGTAGGGAGGGCGACGATTGTCTCACGTGGTTGACCGGAGGACACTTGTTCGATTTGGACTTCGGTGGAGGTCTGTTCGGTGATAAGAACTCGTACGACCCTCTTTTTCGCCATCTCTTGAACTTTTGTAAGGAGAATAAGGTTGATATGGGGCATGTTGGGATCAGGTTCAGGTGAAGACTCAAGTTTCTAACTCTACTTTTCCTCTTGCCATTATAGCGATAGGATGATACTACTTCTAACAGCTTGGTCCAATCGCGGTGACGATACCGTAAGACAGCTCATAGTGCGGCTTGGTTGGCGTGGGCGTAGTCTGCCTTCAATTGGTTCAGATCTGTAAAAATAACCAAGTATTAGCATGGCTACATAACAGTATAATTTTCTAAAAAAAAAAACAACCGAGCTATGCTCACTAGGGGTCCCTTTATTCCAATTGATATTGTAGCCCAGTATTTGGGCCTCCTGGTCTTCGAAATTGCCAGAGACCCAAAGAAAATCGTCGTCGTTTATATCTTTGTCTGGTGTGCGCTTGACAATTTTCTCTTAGCCCTTTCTGATTCAGAGGTAATGAGCCCAACCATCGTCATTTTGGTCAAGCGAGTATTGGTAAAATAGCTCGGCGAATCTAGGGTTGAGATTGAGACAACAGTTTAGCTCAGTGATTCCATTTATTATTCTGTACGTATTGGTGAATAATTGAGTAGGACACAATCTGGTTTGCCTAAGAAATTCATAGATAAGGGGTTGGATGGGGAACCAAAGCCCAGCCTCAACGATGGATATAAGGGTAAAAGGGACGAAACTGGGCTTGCCCCATGGTGTGGTGTCTAGCTCGGCTAGGGTAAATTGTACGCCGTCAGGGATGTGGTAGTCCTTTCGAAACTTGGCTTTAGCATTGGGCGAACTCACAAGGAACTGGTATTTGTCCATGGGTGTGGCCTTAGTTTGTTTATAAATATCTGCTCGACTCCTTAGCCTGGCATTGTAGCGCTTGGTGTGCCTGAATAAACCTAGTCAAAGTCTACACAGTGAAGAACATAGAATGTGTTATGGCCAACTAGTGACTGGGCTAAGGCATAGTGTAAATTAGTTTGCTTGGTCTTGAGAGTGTGTGAGACGTGTAGCTCGATAAAAAGCTGAGGCAAGGTTTTTGCCTGGTCCTGGGAAAAAGGCGAGTTTTTAGTTTGGTCTATGTAAAGGGCCAAGTGGGAGCCCAGTAGTGTTTAGATGATGTTCTCCTAGTTTGGCGAGATATATCTAAGTGAGCACAAACAGGTTTGTAGCTCGGTTTCAGTGTGATTTTGGATCAAAGCCAAAGTTCTTGTTTGATTTCAGTTCCAATAAGGGGGAGTTCTTCCTAAGGTACGAAGTTCGGGAAGATAATTTAGTTTTAAACTCATTTTTGCGCATAAACAATACTGAAGGTATTATTGTAGTATCACTATGATGGGTTTGCAATGTTAAAAATACTAAAAACATGAAGAGTCATACGAAATGTTCAAAAGAACATAAAACTTACGAGTTTTGAGTGGAGAGTGTGATGCTGATCAGCAAATAGCGTTCCAGCAACAGTGTTGAGTTGGATTCGATGACAAAAACGACGGTACTAGGGCTTGAACACAGACAAGTGCAGGATTGGAGTTTTGATGGTAAGCGTTTTTGGGGCTAGAAGATGAATAGTAAACGGTGACTGTTCGAAGTTAAGGGGCTATATATGTAATAGAGGCAAAACGGTGGGTCTTTTCAATTTTTTTGGCAGTGTGAAACGACTGTTACAGTACAAAGGGGCAATCGGGGCATGCCACGTGTCTTAGTAAGGACACGATGTCAGGTACATGGGATGACGGGTTGTACGGCCGGCACAGTTTCTGGAAATCGAGCTAATCTTGGCATGCACGTTTTAGCTCAGTTGGATAGAACATTTTGGTTCGGTTAGATTGAATATCTTAGCGTGGCTAGAAGACAATAAATCCCAATCATGCTTCGCAGAAGGAATTAAAAGGCAATTAAGAGGGTAATTTATGTGAGTAAATTGGGCCAAGCTAAGTCCATCATTCTTAGACATTGGGCCGAGCTGTGGGCCAAGGTAGGAGCTATGATAGCCCGGTTGTAGACCATTCAGGCACCAAGGCAGTTAGAGGAGTCTCTAAGGCCTTGACCGCGCTACATAAAGCTAGGTCTCGATATGGACCAAGATGTTAACAAGGGAGCGAACCGAGCTGAGTTTAGCTCAGTATAGAGCCATCTTGCAGTAAGGGTTACCACGATTCTGTTTAGAGTAGCATGGAGCCAGGGAAACTCGGTTGACCGTAGCGCCAACCGAGGTAAAAGGTCTAAGCCATCCCACTTTGCTTGTAGTGATGGAGGTGTTATGAGGATAGGCATTATAATTAGACATGTGACTCCTAGGAGGACTCTATTAAGGAAAGTTAGAGTCCTACTAGGATTGTGTTAAGCGGATTCTATAAAAGCTCATGACAGGACCTATGTACAGGTATAGCAATTCTTATTCTCAAACACACAGAGCTTTTGTGTCTATTGTCTATTTGCTGACTTAGGCATCAGAAAGGTTCTCAGCATACAGCAGTTGGCTAGCTCACGTTTGTGTTTTCAGGTAGCAAAGGGACGACGTTTGGAGGAGTGTAAACTTGATTAACAAAATTATACGAGAAGATTATTTTGTACTCGTACAGAAACTATGATGGATTTGGTTTTAAACCTTTGTAATTAGAGGAAGTCTTTGGGTTTAATCTTTTTAATCCCAAAGTGGTAGAAAACCAAGTTTTGAGAAAGTCTTTGGTTATAATTTGATTTATTTCATAAGTGTTTTGTTTTGGGGGAAGAAAAAAAAAACACCAAATTTTAGCATTAGCTAAAATATTTCTGATTTTTATTCAGAAATAATGGGCTTTTTTCTGGGAGTACCGATTAACTTTTATGAGTGGTGTAATTCTGATAGCAAGTTTTAATGGCTTATTAGTTTTGGGAACTTGGTTTGTTTTAACCTAGTTATCCCCTAAAAAACTTAATTCTAAATTTGTTTCTCATGGTCTAAAAGTCAACACGCTCTTGAAAATTTTGTCTAAAGTTAACTGGGTCTTAAGTGGGACCGGTGTGACCCCTCCAGTCTTCTTGAAAACTTTCCTGACCATGTTCGATTCTAGGGTAAGTAGTGAGATCAGCTTTAAATTAAATTTCAAACTTTGAGATTTTCTAGCTTTAAGTTTAGTTCGTGAAAAAATAGAATAGTGAAATTCTGTTGTGATTTTTCAGAAATGGCTTCAAGAGGTGACAACAAGAAATGTTGTTCCACCTGACGACCTGAAACCTTGCAAGGTTCTTAAAGGAAGATCTAGAGAGATCAAATGTGATTAAAGAAAATCTTATGATTGCATGATGATATCTTTGAATTTATCAGAGGCAATTAGTATGTTATCCTTGTGCCAATTATAACATGTATGATTGCTATGTGACTTTGCTTGAAAGTAAAGATGAGACAACCCATTAGGGTGGGTAAATGTATTTTTTGAATTTTTATAATTCTAAATATATTCTTAAATTGGTGGTTCCTAGTGAGCGCAAGATCACTGTTTACAAAGATAGGAAACTGGTGATTCCTAGGAGGTGTTAGACCACTGGCTACCAATTATAAAATTTTGGTTCTTAGTATTAAACAGATTACTGATCATATGTTAAGACATGATGGTTCCTAGTAGTAAAAGAGTCTACTGATCATATGTCAAGACATGATGATTCATAGTAATGAAATGGTCTGCTGATCCTATGTCAAGACATTGTGATTCCTAGTAGTAGAGGTTCTGTAAGGACATGAATGAGGGAATGCCTTTCTCTTTTCATGTGGGAAGTTTTTATACAATTTGCGATCCATCCAAGCTTTAATTGTGTACCCTAATGTTCTTTCTATTTGGTTTACTGGAATGAAGTGACATGGAATAATCAGTTCATCCTAATGTACATTTGGTTCACTTATAAAATGATGGAAAATGTATTACAAATGGAATCATCATTCGCAATTGCAAGGGAATAGTCATTTTACACAAAGGCTAAGGAATGACCATTCCATTCCATTCCATTCTAGAGAATCAAATCCTACATATTCCATAAGGCAGACATAATTCATATGATTAGTGACACTGCTATTTGAGAAGAAACAACTGTACTTTCACATGCATTGGACTTGTGTGCACAAAGAAAGATAAAAATGACCAATTATTGTTTCTGGAGTTAGCACAACAAAAGACAGTGGGAAACTAAGTCTTCTAACAAGAACAAAGAAATCAGAGGAAATAATTAAAAGCTGCAAAGAATGTTGAACTGACCTGAAAATAAAGAAGTAGATTTGCTGAAGGCATTGTACCTCCAGTGAAGAAGTACCTAGTAATCCAGTCATCTTCATTGACATCCTGCAAAATGAAAATATGCCACAGGTTTAAAATCACCGTGTCTAAAAAGCTAGCTAATATATATATAATCCCCCATATAATTTTTTACATGAATTACCAATATGAATTAAGTTCTATTTAATCAAATTAAATCAGGTATACCTCAAAGTGATAAGCAAATGCTTTATGGCAGAAATGATGTACAAAAAGAAGGCTATCTGGTTTCATCCACTTGGATATCTTCTTAAGAAGATCCTTGTAGTTCTTCATATGCTGTTTTCAAAGGACAGAACAGAATTTTGACTATTGAGAATAAACATCACATTACTACTTACTCTAGGGTATGAAAAGAATTGCATAACATACCTCAAACATTTCAATGGAAAATATTCTGTCATGGGATGCATCTATATCAAATGTGCCAATATCTGCAACAATGACCTCCAAATTCTGAAGCAGAAGATCCCTATGAAATGAAGCATGCATGGTAATATCTGGGAAAGCATCGGCTAGCAACATCTTTAGCTAGCATCACGTACAACTTAAACTAGTCTACTAAAACAGACCAGTTAAACTAATCAATCAACTGTGAGGAAATAAATTTATAAGTCAAAATGAAAATGAATCTGAATGAGAAGTCCAACACAATGGCAAATTATTTAGGAACATACCGAGACTGCTCCTCAATATATGCTCTCTGCGTCGTTGAGTTGCAAATCCCTGTAACCTTGCAATTACTATACTTCTGTGCAATGTACAAAGAAAGTGATCCCCACCCACATCCAACATCGAGAACAGAGTGACCATCTTTTATCTGTGCCCTCTCACAGTACAACTCTAACATTGCTTTCTCAGCATCCTCTAAGGTCTTTGACTCATCAGTGAAGAGACAACAGCTGCATCAGTTCAGAGGTATACCAGATCAGCTCAAGTGCCACGAGCTAGAATCAAGCAAAATTGGTTGGAAATGCAGTAGAGATTTTTATTTTTTTAAGTAAAGGCGAAATTGAATTATATCACTATAACAAAAACACCACGAAGGGTGCAAGCATGTACAATGTAAAAAGCTCCACAACAAAATTGAGCTCAGCTATAAAGTCAGCAAAAATCCACACAAACAAAAAAAGAAAAAGAAAAAAAAGTAGTCCTTTTACACCAAAAAATGGAAGTATGCAGATGGCCCATTTCAAGCTGATGGATCCTTAACCCTGAATCTTAAAAAATGAATCAATTTCTTTCCCTCCAGATGCTCCACGTAAGGCAAGAAGGAGCATCCATCCAAGCCATCATTTTATCTTTCCTCCAGGCAATCACTACCCCAACAATCCTGAACATCATTGACTCAATTTTGCATGACCTGACATGCCCCAACGATCAAGGAAAAAAAAACCCACAGCACTCTTGCAACAGGGCAACAAAGGAGTGGTGATCCACTGTTTCTTTTGCCTTACAACACATACAACACCTACTAGGCATCCAATACACACCCTACCATACGCACCGTTGTTAACCATTTTTGTTGTATTTGTTACACAGTTTTGTGGTAAATGTTTATATATTTTCTAGTAAAATGTCACGACCCAAACCCGGCCCTATGGGTTTAGCACCGTAACCGGCCAGTAATCCGAGATTACCGAAGGCCTGCTTAACAGAAATACACGTTTGAGAAGAACACTCCACGTTTCTTGACTTGTGGAACAATGAAATACATAAGTGAAGATAAATGGTGAGAGAGTTGCAGTCAAGAAACTGAGAAGATGAGAATCAATCAGCATCCAATGTGTATACTCTGGATTCAGAATCTCATGATTGTATTCATCGATGACAGTGGATGATGGACATACCTGTGTGCCATCAACAAAACTGAGAAGTTGTGTAGCTTTCAGAATATTCTGAACTTGATTCTTCTAGATAATAAAGTTTGTGGAATCAAGTTTGACATGTACAAAAGAATTCAAATTTGAAATGAGTAGTGCAAGATTTGAAGGTATGGAAGATGAAGTAGATGATACAGCAGATGAGGATAGATTCAAAAATGGCATTGAGGACGCCATTGATGAATCTTCAAGAACCAATGCTAGCAAGAGTCTATGGCTCTGATACCATAAAAGATATTTTGCAGAGATCAAAACTTTTCTTTTGAGTTAAATTGAATTACAATTACAGAGATGAAGATATTTATAAACCACACTAAGTAACTCTGGTTCAAGTTAACTAAATCATAACAAACCAACAAACTATAGTTTACTCAGTAACTGCCTAACTGTCTAACTGATGCAATGGCTTAGCTGATATAGTTGCCGGTGCTGATGAAGCTATCGACTAACCATGATGGCTAGAGCTGGAGTTGGAGCTGGGCTGCAGTGTAGCTGGAGGAGCTTGATAGCTATCATGGCTAGGCTCTTTATCAATTTGGACTGAGTTAGTGTGACTGAGTCTAAGTCATCACTCGGGTGGTGGCACACTACCTCGCCATTTGTCTTTGGATATAGGAGTTGATGACTCGACCGATGGTGAGACTGCTTGAGTGATCAGTGTATTTTTTATGCACAAAAAGTTGTGATTTGTTAGATTTTGTGGGGCCCAATGCCACTTTTTGGCTTGGACTATATTTAGGTGTTAGGTCACATCACTTCAACTCACATTTTCTCTCTTTATATCTAACACCCATAAACATAAACCTTATCGATATGATTTGTAGGTCACGGAGTTCGATTCTCACTACACCAAAAAAAAAAAAACAAACAAACAAACAAACAAAGAAGTTGATCCACTCGTCGAGGGCATCGATTTGATCCAAGCCAAGTCTATTTTCAATGATGTCAATCCTAGGGTTTCACTCTCTCTTCCTTTTGAGGTAGGAGCTTCTTGACTACTAGTTTAATATGTCTGATTTGAGTTATGTGTGGGAAAGTAGTTTATAGCTTTGTGAATTGCATGCCCCAAGTTTAGAGAAGTTCAATATTAAAAAAGGGAATTTTTGGATATTATTACCACGTGATGAAATGGATTATGTTTTTGAGCATGAAAATGGTATGAATTGTAATTACGTTATCAATACCATGTTAATTTTTTGTTATTTGAGAAATTGACATGATTTTAGATGATATTGTGTTGTATCTTTAAATGTTGAAGAATGATTCTGTTACGGGTGTAAATTGGAAAATGGAGTTTTGAAAGTTGAAATGGGCTTTCAGGCAAATGTGTTGAGGTTTGAACAACAAAAACGAGAAATGGTGGTTTTGAGAAAAATGAGCAAACCTTGAAATGGTTTTTGAATTGAATCCTTGACATAGATTCAGGGTAAGTGTACAATGTTAAGCAAGTAAGACTAGATTCACTCCACACTAGAAGTTTGAAAACCCACACAGTGCAGATACCAAATGTTCTAGCTTGAGAAATAGGGGATAACGACTCAAGTATAAAAATAGTTGGTTTAGTATACAACCTTGGAGTCGCTGATTGTGACGTGTAATGTTGCTTTTGATTTGGAAAATAGAAGTCTTCGGCTCTTTTTTTTTTTTAAAAAAATGAAAAATGAGAAATGAGATGAAATGGATTTGAGAAATACAAGTGTTATAGGTGGATCCTTTGATACACACCCTACCATACACACCGTTAACCATTTTTGTTGTATTTGTTACACATTTTTGTGGTAAATGTTATTTATTTTTCTGGTAAAATTATGACAATTTGTGGTTCAAAAATGAAGTTACCCATTTTGTGGCAATATTATACATTTTTTTTTATCCAAACATATTTTAAGCACAAAATGTGTAACATTATCACAACAATGTATAACTTCAACTTTGAACCACAAATTATCGTAATTCTACCAACAAAAAAAAACGTATGGTGTATATGGTACACACCCCGAAGGATTTCCCGTGTTAAGGTAGTCTCTTGAGTTTGAGAAAGAACTTCAAAATTGTAACATCTCTAGTTTTATATACGGAATACATCATGTTCACATGCCACATGTTTAGCATATTAGACTTGTTAGTTGTATCCCTATTAGGTGACATGCTGACCTAGCTGATTTCAAGTACGGTTGTGGATGAAGCCATGATGAGGGCTTGAGGATTTTTTGGGGGGTAAAATTCACTTTACCCCCTTGTGGTTTACCTCGGAAGCACTTTACCCCCTTATGCTTTAAACATAGGCAGGAGACTCCCATGTAGTTTTCGACTAAAGTGCTATTCTAACTCTGGTAAAATTATTTGTAAAAAGACTTATATACCCTTAATGTTTTCATCCCTTCTTTGCAAAATGAATTAAATTTGAAGGACAAACGTTTTAACCTAATTGCCAATTTCTATAGCTTATTAATGAAAAAAAGTAATCAAAACTTTCTAACTTAATTTAATTTAATGATATATTAAGCCATATATATATACACTTACATATATATACACACATACATATGTACATGTATATATACATCCTTCAGCACCTGCAATTTTGGTTATTAAGATCAAAGAACTATTAATTCCCAGGTAGCCTACCCCTTCTTCCATAACCCTTCACCTTCTATATCATAATTCACTTAGCAGCAAAATGAGGTAAAATCCAGAAATAATTATGTTACCACTCTGCACCAATTCTCATCATTGGATGCTTTCTAGCATTTAGCAAATACCTTAACAGCATTTCAAAATCAAGCAAAACTCTTGTTTGCCCATGTTCAAATGAGAACAAAAAACCTATGTTCAGTGCCATCACATTAAAAAAAATATTTTTCTAAGTCATACATATCAGACATACAAGCCACAGAAGAAGATAAATGCCAAAGTATAGAAATTATTTGCCTGTATTTGAGATGCTTTCCAGGAACAAGTTTGAAGAAAGAGGTAGGTAGTTCATAATGTTGAGATTTTGCAGTCTCAGTCTTGATGGCTATAGGCATTTCTCTCAAAGCTGCAAGAGAGGAACAACTAATCAAAATGCATAAAATTGAACACATTGTAGTCTAAAACAAGTGTTGAGTTTGCTAGTGTCAGAAATAGTACAATCGTGTCCTTCATTCTTGTTTATGCAATTTTTTGTTTTACTTCAAAAAATCAAGAATGATCATTATAAAGAGTTTGCCTAGATGCTAATCATAATAAGAAAACTAAATTTATTTTAAGTTCTTTGACCATTTGATTTGTCAAACATTTAGTTCAGAACTTTTTGAAAGTATTCCGAGCATGAAATTGTTTGGTATGAAATGTTATGGCTAAAATCAATTAATGATATTAGCTTTTGGTAAATGTAATATTTACAAAAAGACGCATCAAATTTCACAAAATGTTAATGTCCCCCATGACTGCAGCAAAGTTTTGCCCCAAAACAAATGCCAATTCTCACCGAACCAAAAAAATTAAGGGGAGAAAATGGAAAAAACTAAAAAAGTAAATGATTCTTAAGTTATTTTAGCACATTTGACAGAACTTTCTTGTAGTTCTATACATTTTTCACACATTTCAATGCACTTTTTGTTGGAGACGAGAACTATATTAAACTCACTCAAATAATTTGAAAATAAAATAAAATTGAAGAGAATCAAAACTCTTTCATTCTTTCATACTTCAAGTAGTTAGATTACAATGCCATATATAAAGTTCAAAAGTTACTCATGACATTCTTAGATTAACACCCACTTTCCCTGCATTTTGTAATTACTAAAAACATTAACACACCACTCCACCATCACTTGCAAAATTAACACACCACCAACCCACTAACACCATCACATGCATGAACTCTATGTAGAAAAACATAAACACCATCAAACTTGATTTTTCCAAATCCAAGCAAACTCCTAAATTTGCAAAAAAACATATACTTGTATCGCAACAATTGATATCATTTTGAAATCCACCACCATCAATAGCAACAATTTCTATAGCCATCTTCATAGATGTGTGAATCTTGAATTTGATCTTTCTATAAACACTCTTGCGTTTCTTCTTCACATGCTTGTATAGTGCATTTGAATACAAAATTTATAGTTTTTCCTTCACATTGGCATTCTATCAATCTTTATTCTTGAATTTTTTTGCTTCTTGAGTTTTGCTTTTGTTTGCTGTTGAGGATAAAAAAAAATGTTCCACATCCACTCAGCCTAAGTCAAAAATAGAAGTCTCCAAACTACTTCAAAAATAGAACTCTCCAAACTACTTTGCAAATGCCAACTGCTATAAACCTAACTTCTTGATATTTATTCTCATACTTCAATGAAACAGCGCATCACTACTTATAAGACTCAAGTCCACCATTGTAAACTCAATTGAACCTGCCAATTTCTTGACCAAAGTTTAATAAGCGAATGAACATCTTTTCACTTTCGTAGATAGAAAATAAGTCAAATACGGGGTTCCCCTTTCAAAGTAGACATGCTTGAAAGTGTTAGTTCTATGACTTGGTTGACATGAACCTCTTGATTTTCTTCTTCACACTCCTCAACTCAATTTCCACAACTTCCTTTTCTTTAACTTCAGAATTTTTACAAAATCCATTTTCATTTTCAATTAAATTCTAACCTTTCTTCAACTTCATCATTCATTTCTTCCTTTTTGCCTTCTTTTTCAAATTTTCCTTGAACTTTGGCCTCCTAAGGTTGTTTAACTCCAATGGGATGATACTTTTCTCCGTCCTCCAATGGTGTATCTTAAAAATCACCCTCTTCTTTGTAAACCTGTCTTCTTCACAACACTATACCCAATACTCAATGGGAAAAAGGACTCCTCGATGATTAGAGGCAAAGAAGCATGGACACGGAAAATTTCAAAAATGTAGGACACGATACGTAAGGGACACACGCAAAGAATATAACTTTATATAATTATTATGTAATATTTTTTAATATTATATATTTATTCTATATTAAATATTAATTCTCACCAAATTCATCAACCTAGGTATGCTATTTTGATGAAAAAAATTTAAAAAATGGGGTCCCACCGTGTCCCCCACGTGTCTCAATGTGTCCCACTCCTTCTAGTGTGTCCAACACTTGTTCGGAGCGTGTCTGTGCCCAGCACGTGTCGGACACTAGTACTTGACCTGTGGAGAGGTGTTTGTGCTTCATAGATTAAAGGCAATAGGGCCGAGCAACTTCCAAACATGACTCAAAGATTTTGTCTCTACAAAGTCCTTCCAAATCTCTTGGTGAATCGCTCTTTGCAAAATTGAAAATGCTCTCTCTTTTTTTCTTTTTTCTTTTTGTCTCTCAAACCCACTAACAACACATACGTGAACTGAATGGAGAAAAGCATCTCAAATCATAACAAAAAACAAGTTAATGTTTCGAACACTTTTACATGTCCACCGACACTAATGACAGCCCTATGGGCATCTTGCTTCCGAACCACAAATAAGACACTCTATTTCCTTGTGAACTGGTGTTTGAAGTAGTCTCAGAGACGAACCATGTGAACTATTTATTCCATGGAAGTAACAAGTACATACACAAATAAACTTTGTCTAATTAATGGATACAGTTATAACATGTTAATCAAAAAAGTGTTTGTCCCACCATCAATCATCAAAAAGTGCTTTAATTCGCACAATTCATAATTGATAATTGCAAATTGCAACAAATGAAGAAAGAAAATGTTAACAAACTTCACAAAAGTTTATTAATTTGGCCATCTCCTTTAATTCAAAAGAAAGTAACAAATTGGATAAAAGCTCAATTTATGTAGATATATAATTCATCTTTTTATTTTTTTTTATTTTTTTTCATCACATCACCTCTCTATTTTCTTGCCCATCTCTTCGTAAAAAAAAAAAAAATACGCTTATTTAAATCCTCCCAAACAATCCTTAAACTCAAGGGATAACATTGATTAATTTGTATAGAGCATTACTGTGAGAGAAATTACATTTAGAGAAAGAGAGGGGAGAGAGAGTAAAAGGAGAGTTTTTTTACATTGGGAAAAATGGAGGAGGTGAGAGAGTTGAAGGTCGGAAGAGGGTTGGTAACCGGAACGGAGACGAGTGGATAATAGAAGGCGAGTGAGCCTCCTTATCACTGCGTCCGGTAGTAGGTTGCGCTCCAGCGAAGCTACCATCAGCCGCGCTGTAGCATCATACGGTACTTTCACTAGCGCATCCATCTCTCTCCCACTCACTCTCTAAGTAGAAGAAGATTTGATCCCCGTTTTCTCTCTCCTTTCCCCTCTCTCTCTCTCTCTCTCTCATGTCTTTTTCTCTCCCTAAAATGAGAGAAATTTTTGTGACACGTGTAACTTCTACTGGTGTGATTGATTTAAGAAGTGTTTGAATAATAATAATGTGCATATATATTTGTAATTAGTGAAAAAAAGTGTTACCTAATATTTTATTGGTATATAAAAATTTTTCTTAAGATAGAACAATAAAAAAGGTAAATTAAAAAATTGATGTTGCCATTTTTTTATTTTTGTTTTTTATGAAGTGCATCTTTTTTTTTTTTTTTTACTAAATTTGAATAAAAATTCTATTTGATATTAAGGGTTTTAATGAAAATTTTTGAGCTTTCATCAATATACCGATCAATCGGGCAGGCGATTGAGCGAATGCTCGGTTAGTCAACCAGTTAATATATTTTTTTTACAAAATTTTGCATATAGGTGGTCATCAAGGGACATTCAGGCTGACGATTGGGTAGTGTCTGGCTAGTCGATTGGTTAGTGTATTTTTTTTATAAATTTTTGCCTAGAAGTGGTCGTCCGGTGGTGAAAATCTAACGTCTATAAACATTGATTTGATGAAAGCTTACAAGCGTCCTTAATTTGGTAAAAGATTTTTTATATTCTCAATTTGATACTCGTTTAATGAAACTATTAGAACAGAAAAAATGTTATTTTTTTTTATCAAATTTAAATTTAATGACAGAATTAATAAACCATTAGAGATGACATAAGGGAGTGGAGTGGGATTGATGAACACTTTCTTAAGTTTATTTATTTTGGATTAGGGAGTGGAGTGGGGTTATGTGGCAGATGAATATGTAACATGTGCATATAGGATAAGAGTGTTTGAAATTGGCTTCCCAGTGAATGGGTTTGTCATTGTGCAAGAAGAGAGGTGTCCTACTATTCAAGAAAAGATGTTTGGTTTCAAGTGATAGTAATCAAGAAATTTTCTAGGAAAGATACAGACAGAATGCATGTAGCTATTTTGTGATTCTAGACAAAAGGGCAATGGAAGCAGATTTGCTAGGAGTACACAAAAATTTCACAAAATAAGATATAAATTAGAAACAAAAAATAGTTACTGAGAGGACAGATTTGCACCGGACAGTACGGCCGAGCTACGGCAACGCAGGTGTGGAAAACCTTTCGGTGCCGAGCTATCCCCTCAATCGCACGGTCCTCCGACCTGTCTTACACGGTCGAGCTAGGTTTGCCGACCAGGCATGGTCTAAGGCCAAGCCGAGCTGTTGTTGTTAGGCGTTCGGCGGTAGGGCGCGTTAGCACGGCGCGACCGAGCAGATGACAGTCCAAAAAGAGTCTAGGCCGGGAAGAGGTTGGCGTGCGCCCGACCGGATAGCTCGGAAGCTCGGTCGTGTTCTTAGTGGTTGTGATTTTCTCCGAAGGAATAGGCCAGCCTTGGTATGCTGGTCAGGTGTGTCACTTGAGCCAATGGCGTGAGGGAGAGGATATCTGCTCCAGGCACGCGTCAGTACCGTTTGGCAATTTTGTATATACTGGATGGAGGATCTGGCCTTTACACGTGTAAGGTGGTGGAAGGCGAGCACAGCCAACTGTCCAGGGAAGGACAGCAGAGGTAGTGCGCGCACAATCCTGAGGCGGCATGGCCAGCCTAAAAAAAGGAAGTGAGGATGAACGTTAGAGGTAAGCAACTTGCGCTATCCAAAACACACACTCTCTCTCTCTAACGGCCTTCTTCTTCTTCTTCAAGTGATCTGACTTGATCGTCGGAGGGTCTATCTGGCATACCACCGCCGGGCAGCTCACCGTTCTCTGTGTTGCCAGGTTAGGTGCCGTCACGTGAAGCTTGGACTCCAAGGAGTACAGAAAGCAGAGGATATTTCGTCCCCGTACAATTGGCGCCGTCTGTGGGAAGTTCTTTGATACTCAAACCTTGTTTTTCAAGCTTCTTCAACCATCTCCATGGCCAACAACGACGAAACTCCACTGTCTATCGTCGATGGCGTCACACCAGAGTCTGTCCGACGGAGAGAAGGCCCTTTGAATGTTCCAGCCATGGCGGGCCTAGAAACCTCTTCGTGAGGTGCGCGAGACAAACGCGGAAGGAGTACTGATCGCTCGAAGAGTCCAGAGGGCTGTCGGCGACGGGAGAAGTCCCATGCACAGCACCTGGAGCACAAACTCAAAGACCAAGACGCCCTCATTCGCAGAATAGCGGCGGAGATGGAGATGTTGAAACGTCAGATTAAGGGGAAGGATGTTGCTGGAGAGGGCAATCTCAATGAGCGCACCCCGTCCCCTCGTTCTAGCAGTCGCCGCTAGGAGAGGACCCACTCTCTCTCCATCACCAGGAACTATGGGGTTGGAGATTCCGACCGAAGAGAGGGTAGATCCCTCACTCGAGACAGCACATACTGTCCCTCACGCCATTCTCCGACGTCATGATACTCTTTCTTCACCCGTTCTAGAGACCTGAGGGATGTATTGGAGGAGAGGGCGCGCTGTCGAGAGGCTCAGAGAGTGCCGGCGTAGCAGAGATTGAGCGCCCCCGTTCACTGTAGCAAAAAAGTGGCGATGCCAGCGCCCAGAGTGATGGCCCATGCGCCAGTGGACAAAGAGATGGCGAGACTTACAGCCACGTCGTTGTCTCCGAAGATCGAGAGTACACTGCTCCCTGCCGGATTCCACCAGCCTAAGTTCACCTTGTACGACGGCAAAACGGATCCGTACATGCACGTGAGTCATTACCGGCAAGTAATGGCTGGCCACCGGCGCAATGACGCCTTGATGTGCCTCATATTCCCGGCAAGCTTGGGAGAACTGGGCCTGAAGTGGTTCAAAAGGCTTCCAGAAGGGAGTATAGAGGGGTGGCAGCAACTAGCGGAAGCCTTCGTCACCAGATTCAAAACCAACACTCGAACGCCGAAGGAGGTCGATCATCTTCTAGGCGTCAAGATGGAGTCAGGAGGATCATTGAAGGCATACAACGCGAAGTACTGGGAAACTTACAACGAAATCCTCGACTGCCCTACCAATTTGGTGATCACTCAATACAAGCGGGGTCTCCCAGTCGGGCATAGGCTGCGGGACTCACTCACAATGCACCAACCCACAACCATGGAGTCCTTGATGCAGCGGATCAATGAGTACATTCGTGTAGAGGATGATGTCGCCTCCGCGACCGAGAAGGTTAATCCGGTCGCAGTGGACAGAAGGGTAGCAGGGAAAGTTCACTCGGTCGGGCAGGAGGATAACCGCCCAAGCGACCGGCCAAAAGATCAACGACGTAGCCCAAACCGCGATGACAGAAACAAGGGTCGCAGAAATGACCGAGCTGACGCTCCCCGTGATGCAACGGAGGATGCTAAGAGAAAATTGAAGGCGCGGACTAGAATCCCCACGGTCTTTAAAATCCCTATCTACCGCATCTTGAGTGAGATCAAAGGCGAGCCTTTTGTCCGCTGGCCGGCCAAGTTGGGGAATGCACAGAGAGGCTTCAACTCAAGGTATCGCTGCACCTTCCATGAGGAACGGGGACACCAAACGGAGGACTGCTTGCCGCTCAAACAACATTTGGAAGAGCTAGTAGCCGCGGGACATCTTGACCAATACATAGATAGGGGTATGAAAGCCGCGCCATTGGGGCAAACTGAGCCAAACGGCCTAGCCGCCCTAGAGGCAGCACCCCAAGGCGTAATCAACGTCATCCATGGCATCGTTGAACCAGCAAGGGTTTGCGAGCTCAAAGGGATGATTAAGAAAGCCGAGCACATGAGGGAAGTGCTCTCCGTTCGGTTCGCTGTAAAGAAAGGGAAGACCGAGGAGAAGGACATTCTTACCTTTTTGAGCAGGGACTTGGAGCGAATCCAGATGCCCCACAATGATGCCCTAGTGGTAACTCTTCGCGTCAAAGACTTTGACATCAAGAGGATCTTGATCGACCAGGGAAGTTCGGTCGAAATTATGTACTATGACGCGTTCAAGCAAATGAAGTTGGAGGACAAGGACTTGGCCCCTGCGACGTCCCCTTTGGTTGGCTTCAACTCTCAGCCGGAGTGGCCGGTAAGGAAAATCATACTGCCGGTCAAAGTGGGTTCAGTCATGAAGCAAGTAGAGTTCTGGGTGCTCAAAGTCCCATCCACCTATAACTTAATTTTAGGCAGGGGCTGGTTGCACGCCATGCAAGCAGTAGCGTCGACTTACCATCAGGTCTTGCGCTTTTCGGCGCCAAACGGACAAATAGAGGAAGTTTGGGGAGACCAAGTAATGGCGAAACAATGCTTCGTTGCGGTAAATGGCAGCCAAACAGCTAAAGGATTTGTCCAAACGATTGAGAGATCCGAGGGAAAGGAGGTCCTTGAAGACGTAGGAAGAAAGGCCGAGGAAAAATCGGTCGAGGATTTGGTGGAAGTGCGGATCGACGAGAATTACCCGACTAAGTTCTTCTTTTTGGGATCATCTTTGCCTAGCGCCGAGCGGTTGGATTATGTCAACTTCTTGGTTTCAAACATGGAGGCTTTTGCGTGGACGCCTTACGATATGTTTGGCGTCGACCCTAACTTTATTTGTCATCAGTTGAACGTCTTCCCAAATGCGCGGTCGGTCATTCAGAGGACTCGCCGCTCGGCTCTGCACCATGCCGAGGTAGTGGCAGAGGAGGTCAAAAATCTGTTGGAAGCAGGAGCGATAGAAGAAGTGCAATACCCTCGTTGGATATCCAACACGGTGGTAGTCCCAAAAAAGAATGGCAAGTGGCGAGTCTGCGTTGACTACAAGACAGTTAACCGTGCATGCCCAAAGGATAGCTTCCCCCTCCCTCGAATTGACCAGCTGGTGGACTTGACCGCTGGCCATCAGAGGTTTAGCTTCCTGGACGCATATCGCGGCTACCACCAGATAGCCATGTATAAACCAGACCGAGAGATCACGTCGTTCACTACTCCTAGAGGCCTCTATTGTTATAAAGTCATGCCGTTTAGACTGAAGAACGCCGGGGCAACTTTTCAGAGGATGGTGACAAAGATGTTCGCTCCTCTTTTGGGCCGAACAA